GCTTAAAAGCCTGAATTTTGCCTGAAACTCTCAGACTGAAGAAGTCTCTTGGAGGAGAGACGATACGTTTCATTAGAGAAGAACCCGTCCAGAAGACCTATACAATTTTTGTCTTTTTGTTTACATGATGCTTTTTTATTCCAAATGGCCGTTTAATCCGATTATTTATGACCATGTAAATGCAGCTTCTGATGCAGTCTTGTGTTTCAACACACTGGTGGAATCATGAATGTGCAACATACCTTCAAGGGACACTTAAGTTTTACTTAATTTCTTCCTCTGAACTGATTGATGGTAAAACAATATTATTTTTTCTATGTCTTTGTAATTTACAGAGTGTTCAACCAGACTCCTCCTCCCCTCGACATGTAAGTTTATATTATAACATTTTTACTTTTACACTGAGGGAATGCCTGAAATGAACRGCCAGGAGTAGTGACTCTATATTTAAATGATAAACCTAGAATCTCTTAATGGAATTCAATACGGTTCAATATAGTTTATTTATACATCACCAATTCTTAGCAAAATCAACTCGGCACTGTACAAAAACATTCACATTAATCAATATATGGATATATTTCTACACAAATGCTGTCAGAATGTATCGTTCTGTTTGGGAAGCAGATGGAAACGTAGCATGAAGCATACACACGATACAAGTGGATTTTATTTTGAAATCAGAAGTTTCAAAAGGACGATAGCGATACAGTTTCAACTATAGATATCAAAAGCATTTATATTAATGTTTTCAGCTGTGTTTAGAGTTCGTCTTTCACAGAATTACTTATTTTTTGCTCTGACTTCCACATCACTGGATTTATCGCGCAACCTCCTTCCTGCACACCCTCCCGACACCCTCCCGACACCCTCCCTCCTCTGTGTGCCGGACCGGAGCGGAGCTGAGCGCAGCGGAGGCTGTATAAATTGGGGCACAAACGAACAGCTGCGAACTGCGCAGTGCAGCGGAGCATAGACACGTGTAGTGTAAATCCGGGGTCAATTTGCTGGAGGGAGCTGACGGACTGTATACAGGCACGGGAACTGATAAACGGACCTAATCTAAGATTTGGTAAATCTCTCTTTGCCCTGACAAGGAAAACTTTAAGTACACAGGTTGGAATCCTAATTGGGCACAACCTGCTCAACASCCACAAAATGGTGATGGGACTCCATGATAATGGTCTGTGTGATGCCTGTGGCATTGAATTAGAGACTTCTTAGGTCACTGCGGTGGCTCTGAGCAGTCAAAGGAAAATAATTCTTGGGGACCTCTTTATAGGTCCTGAGAAGCTCAGAACACTGAGTGTTTCTAACCTCATGTCCTTCAWCCAAAGGATGCAAAGGTTTGAATAAAGACAAGTGCCATTTTGGGGAGAGCAGTGGGTCCATTTATGAGACCCCTGCTCTTATAGGTTCTTTAACCAAAACCACTAAGCATAAAAACCATAAAACCATAAATGTGTCCCTTCCCAACAGGTTAAGGACTTGTTGACTTACCAATGTAATTGTGCTGATGTAAAAGGTCACCGCCTCCAGGGGTGTGACTAGGTTATGTTATGTACATGTAAGCTTTTAGGTTTGAGAAGGAGTTTTTAGCAACAGCAGCAGCGGAGGCAGTGGGAAGAAGCCATTGTTTTAGGTTGCTGGTAAGACTCAGGGTTACACACAGGCACTGATCCGAGCAATAAAGCTTTTTAACAGATAATTCACTTGGATTTCTGTGCAGTTATTCTGACCGCCAGTTTTTTAAATCATGTTTTCTTACAGTTAACTACATGTACTTAATATTTAGTATTTTTATTTTTTTCTGCTTCTATAAATTGCTGCCTTCCTCCTGTGACTCTGAGTCCCTCCCCTCTCATTGCGTCAGCAGGCTGCTCTGAAATGGCTTCTTTTATTAATGCAGCTCTTACTCAGCTGCAGGCACAAACTTAAAATAGCTGCCGAGGATTTAGACCGCAGCTCACTCTCTCACTTTTTTTCTCTCCACCTCTTGCCTTGTCCCTTTTCCTCAGCTCATATTAAGGACTTCTTTTTTTGCTCTTTTCATGACATTTTGAATAGAAAAAGTGAACCTAGTCTGTTTAATCTGATTGTAGTGTGTTGAGTGCCTTCTTCTGTGAGGAAGCAAGGAAGGTCATGGCTTCCATTAGAAACCTGCACTTCAGTTAAGCATCCTTCTTCTACTGTGAAGCTTTCACTTCATGCTCTTTTTTGTTTTACACCTGAATCCCTGCAAAGAACTCTTGTGTGACACTGAGGCTTTGTCCACATGAGGAAGTTTTTATTCCCTAAAACTCTTTTTAATTTCATATTCATAAAGATATTTTTGTAAACACAGCACTGTTTCTAGTAATGTTTTTTTCCACATGGGAATGCAGAAAATAATTTAAAATGCTTCAGTAACTATGCCAGGCCTGTATTTACCACTGTTACACTGCCACAGAAATAGACTGATTTCAGTTATATACACTGAATAGAAAGATACAGAACCATTTGTGAACCATCACATCAAATTAAGG